AATGGAGGCATCGACTCCTTTATGGACTAACGGGTTTTTCAAGAGCGTGGAGTAATGTATTCCTCGATAACTGTGGGGGAAATAAGAACAAGATATTTATGACTTGGAAAGAACAAAAACTCCAGTTTAATGTTCAAGAGGCAGAAAATATTCACGAAATCATTCGCACATCCTAGCGCCCTTTCCATCAGTAATTGAGAAGGTGGTACAGAAGCATAATGGTGAATCGAACTTGACTCTCCACTGATCCACTGCCTAAAACTACTACTTGAAGGGTTTTCAGCGATACGCTGAGGCAAACAGGAAGTGCAGAAACCCGTTTTCTTGGTTATCCGAAAAAAGTCATATACTCAGTTCATACTTAGGAAATGGACTCAATTATTCGGAAACAATACTTTTCTCAATTTAGCTTTCCCATCTTTTCTCACTTACTAACTGCCTGTTAAGAAGATAATGTTAAGGCTTGGAAATTGTTCTTGCACATACTTAGTTTGGAACCGGCCGCACTGTGCAGACACGCCAAAATTCTTCAACGATGTGTCAGGTAAAGGATTGATTAAGCTCTTTTTGCCCCCAGACATCTTTATTTCTCCTACCTGGCGCTTCTTATATAAAGATCAAACGTTCCTTCATCATTTAGTTGATTTCTGTGACAAGATGTCTCCACTGTTCCCCCAATCGCGTATAAGCCTTCAACCATTGGTCCATACGCCGAGCTAGAAATAATCACTAAATAACTGCTTTTGAGCTGATGTACCATGCGTACATTCAGACTCGAGGACAGTCAATCATATATAAGTGACCAGAAACGTCATAGTTACCCAATCAAGTTACTAGGCTGACACTGACTGGCTCGCGTATGACAATTAGGTATCACTCCGGTAACAGTCGGAAGATGGCACCCAAAAAAATCCGTTACCTAGAAATAATACCTTTAACAGTGGACTTAAACGCCTTCAGGCTATATCAGCGGTTGCAGGCCTACTTTCACGCACTACTTTCACTCCCATTGGCACAACTGTAAAAAACTCAGCGGCCTTGGTGGGATTCGAATCTACGTCAACGACGGCAAGGTTTGAGTACAGCCAACGCTCTAACCACCTGAGCTCCGAGGCCCCACCAGGAGTCATGCGTTTAATTAAGTCAAATGAGATTCAAATCTGCCAAAACACCTATTAGTTAAACTTGAGTTTCCGAATTGCAATAGCGCACAGGTCTTGAGCGGGTCGAATGTTGAGGACTCTAATTTCTATCAGGCACCTCGTGTTTCGCCTCTTTTCCAAAGCAGAACTGAGCCTTGCTTGTTGTGGTAGTGAGGGCAAATATATGGCGACTCGAGTAGTGGCTGTGCATTAACCAGTACAAGAATCGGGGCGCGTTCGCGTTTTAAATGAGACGGGAAAAACACCAGATGGAGGCGTATACGCTATGCCCAGGGGTGATGGTAGAGGGAGGCCTCGGCGCGCGGCCAGCGCTGGGCTCGCGATCGGGTCTCCGCTAGGGTGGTGTGGGCACGAGTTAATCAATGTCATCTGAGAAGGGGTGTGGGGGTGTCTGGTTGAGGGTGTGTAGCGGGCAGCCATAATGACCGGTCTGGTGTTATTGTTCAAGATCTCGCTGCCTCAAGGTCATTCACCCCTTGCAGCGAGCCGCCCCAGACGAGCTGACCTGAAGCCACTCGACCCACTTCAGCTCGGGCACAATTGCGGCCGCACAGCGTCGCGGCTACCAGTGCGCCACTTGAACGCGCCGACCCTGCAACCAACAAAACAAGCCACTGGGACACCACTCCTCGGCAAATGCAACACACACCGATTGGAGACCACTTGAGCATGGCCCACGAGCCTACAAAAGTGGCTGCCACCACTGTCCCAGTGACTCTCAGGCATGGCTGGACGCAGTCAACACCACCCCTGGCTTCGCCAGTGGCCACTGCCGCCTGAGAGGACAACTCCGGGTTCTGTGCACAATAAAACCCTCATTATGGTGCCTTCCATCTTCTCCTTCCAACATGGGGTTTGACTTGACAATTGTAGCTCACAGACTAAACTCATTCTCACTGCTGAGTTACGACAGGTCCAGGGGACGGTCGTAGTAGGTAGCTCATTTTCTTGAAGGTGTAGACTATGCCTAGTGTCTATTAACTGACACCAAACTCTCCCATGTGGCTCCACGAAGGTAGGCTCCATCTAGCGGCCACACCCCGATAACCGCCTCGACCGGTGGGCTAAACCAGGCGAAGGTATCCGTGTGTGCATCTCCACACACGGTAACTCGGCTCCGCTGGCCCGATGGATCGCCAAATGGTTATCACCGAGACCAGGATCCGTCTGTAACAGCGTAGAAGGCTACAAGGTAAAGGATCACCAATGTAAGCGAACATTACTCTGCTGGATTGCTACTCGTCTGTGTGTATGTACCTGTAACTGTTGAAAGCTAAATTCCGTTATGTTACCTTTCCACCTTTGCCTTAGCCTTTTGCTGTTCTTGCCTGCTTGCTTTATGCCTATCTGTTAGTGTTTGTCCCTATTGTAGGCTAAATGCTGTTCCGTTGAATCTGCCTGCTCACCGCTTATATTTCAGCATTCATTTTGATCAGAGAGAGAGAAGGGAAAGTCTGCTTCCGGTACCACTGCCCTTCCCCCATCATGCCCTTCCACTTCCCACTTCAAAAAGTCCTACGGAGAAGGTGGCATGCAATCCCGTATGCGGCCTAGGAGGGTCGTTCTATACTAAACGAAGTCATGGTCCATAGTGGAGTCCGGCAGCCGTCTGGGGTGTCTAAGTAGCCCCGTTTAGGGACAGAACTGCTCACCACCGCGAGGAAGACGGGACTGGAAGAAGTGATTTAAATAAATGCTAGGATCACGTCCTCTGCGCGCTGTCCGTGGCTAGCAGACTCAAAACACACGGTCGAGACCATCAAAAAAGAAACAACACACAAACTCTCTTTCTTCCCCCTCCCTCTTCCCACCGCCCCACCCCACAGGTTGGTTGGGTGAGTCTGCCCACTCTGGCAGCCTGGAATGTTCGTTCCCTTTTAGACAATCCGAGGAGCAACCGAGCTGAGTGGAGGTCTGCGTTATTCGTTCGGTAATTGACACGATATAAGGTGGACATGGCTGCACTCAGCGAGACCCGGTTTTCATAAACAAGGCAAACTGGAGGAGATGGATGCCGGCCACACCATCTTCTGGAGCGGTCGCCCCAAGGCAGAGCGACGGGACGCGGTCATCGCCTTCGCAGTCTGGAACGACATTGTGGGACGACTGCCCTGTTCGCCGCAGGGCATCAACAATCGCCTGATGAGCCTCCGTCTGCATCTCCAGGGACGTAAATTTGCCACCAACGTCAGCGTCTACGCCAACCCCCTCCTCCTCCGCCCCCCAACGACCCGTTTTGACGCGGTAAGGAACAAATTATACGAGGACCTGCACGTCCTCCTGATGTCTGATCCGAAGGCGGATAGGCTGATTGTCTCTGGTGACTTTAACGTCCGCGTCAACACACACGAGTGCTGGGTCACAATGATCTCGGCGGCTCCAATGACAATGGCCTACTCCCCCTACGAACCTGCGCAGAACACCGGCTCACCCTGCCCAACACCTTCTTCCGCCTGCAGATGCGAGAGAAGGCCACCTGGATGCACCCTTGGTGGTCGCGACGCTGGCACTTGCTGGACAATGTCCTTGTCCGGAGGCGAGACCAGCGAGACGTGCTGGTGACAAAGGCGATCCCGGGTGCCGACGGGTGGGCCGACCATCGCCTCATCATCTCCAATAGGGGGATTCGCCTACAGCCTCGCAGGAAACCTCAAGGTAAACAGCCCTCAGGTAAGTTTAATATTGCTTTGTTGTTTTTGCCTGCTCACCATCCCCATTTAAGCAGTGAGCTAGCTCAACGGCCAGCCAAACTTCCAGTCGCTGTTGTCGCCACTGACGAGAACGCCTCCGTGGGGAAAGGATGGTGTCAACTGAGGGACACGGTCCAGTCGACCGTCCTGACTGTTCCCTTTCGCGCACTTCGACAACATCAGGACTGGTTCGGTGACGACACCGCCATCAGCACCCTACCCACTGAGGAGAACCTCTTGCTTAGAGCCTATGTCAACGGCCTCACCTACGACGACGACAACAAAGCAGCCTTCCACCGTAGTCGCCGCCTTGAGCAACAGCGGCTGCGGAAGAGGCAGGATGCCGGGACGGCTTGCAAGGCCGAGGAGATCCACGGGTACGTTGGCCACAACGAATGGAAGAACTCCTTTGCCGCGATTAAGACTGTCTTTGGTTCCGCAGTCAAAAGGCACCGTCCTCTTCTCAGCGCCAATGACAGTACCCTACTCACCGAGAAGACACAAGTTCTACAGCGATATGCCGAGCGGTTCGGAGACGTCCTCAATCGTCCCTCCATCATCTCCGACGCCGCGATCGCCCGTCCGCCTCAAGCGGAGATATACGTTGATCTCGACCTACCGCCCTCTCTCCACGAGATCACCAGGGCCGTGAAACAGCTCTCCAGCGGAAGGGCGTCCGGATCGGGCGCGATCCTTCCTGAGATCTACAAACACGGGGACACCAAATCATGGATCATCCGACGACGCTCTCCCAGGAGATGTGGCGTCATAGAGAAGCCCCTTAGGATCTCAAGTACAATACAATCGTCCACTTCTACAAGCGGAAAGGGAACCGCTAAATCTGTGACATCAACAGGGGCATCTTCCTGTTAAACATTGCCGGAAAAATCTTCGCTTGCATTCTTCTCAACTGTCTAAACCACCATCTGGATCAGGGTCCCCTGCCAAAAAGACATTGCGGCTTCCGCCGACATCGTGAAACCACCGACATCATCTTTGACGCCTGGCAACTGCAGAACAAGTGTCGGAGATGCGGATCTACCTCTACTCCATCCTCGTGCGTCTGACGAAGGCATTCGACGCGGTGAATCGCGAAGCCCCGTGGTAAATCATGCAGAAATTAGTCTTTCCCGAACAATTCACTCAGATGGTGCGTCAGTTTCACGATGGCATGATGGCGCGAAACACAGACAATAGAGCTGTCTCAGAAGCATTCACAGTGACCAGCGGAATGGAACAGGGCTGTGTCCTCGCGTCCACCATCTTCGGCCTCATGTTCTCTGTCATGCAGATGGACGCCTACCGTGACGAACGCCCCGAGATCCGCGCCGTCTACAGGACGGACGATCAACTGCTCCATCAGTGGCGGATGCACTTCCAGTTGCGTGTGTCCACAACTTCCGTCCATGGACTTCCCTTCGCCGACGACTGCGCCCTCAACACCACCTCCGAAGGCGACATGCAAAGGTGCATGGACCTCTTCGCCGCCGCCGCCGCCGCCGCCTGCGACAACTTTGGCCTAATCATCCCGCCCACGTTGACGAGGGCCAACCTTCAAGACAGGAGTAGAAGACGAAAAAGCACCAATGGGAGGAGTCTGTTGTGTACAGAAGTCCGAGTTACTGTCCGAGGCAGCAGTCTGCACTGAAAATATATGTCCACGGACGACAGCAGAGACGAGACACACCTGCGGATGTCTTTGTAGCCAGTCCGTTTTATAGGTGTGAAGTAGAGTTGCCAAGTTTCCCCTCTATGTGTGTACGTGTGTTGAAGAAACTAAGTCATGGAAACCTGCAACTGATTGGACATGCTAATACGAGAAAAATGAGCTAACTTGGCCGACGTTGCATGCAAGCAGGCGCCAAAAACTGAGGCTGGTAGCGGAGACTATGGACCGTTTGATGGTGGGTGTCCCAGTAAGACACAACAACAAGAGGATGAGAACCGGTCACCTCATATCAGCCAATGGTTCGTAGAATTATTCAAAAGCCGACTACACTACCCGTGCGAAGTGTCAAAATGCGTTAACTCACACTTACACTGGCTGCTATGCACTCTGTCGGGTTGTACCCCAGATTTATCCTGTCTTCCCCAAAACTTTAGCACTCATGTGCCTTGACCTTTATTCAAAAATGCGCCCTGGTAATTAATATTTTTACGAACTGTCTCATTTACGTCTTCGAAAGGGAACATTACCCCGTGAATGTGTTGTTTTTATCAAGTGTCTGGCACAGTCGGCGCACTATTTTAGTTGTTTTGCGAATCTGAGCGTGTGTTTGCGGTTTTCCGTTCATGCCTTAATTGAGACGTAACGCTGACGCGCAA